GAACAATTAATTCAGAAAGCCTATGAATTATTTCCTCAAGCCACTGAGCCTCCCCTAACTCAAAACTGTTTTTCAATAACTATGTGACTACACATAACAAAATATTCTTTAAAAGTAAGAAAAAAGCACATCCCTTGCATTCTTCAAAAGTCGAAGGATGATAGAAGTTTCTTGAAATTTAGGAGTATTTTATTGACAAATATACAATAATACCTGGTTCAAGTGGGATAAAGAGGCTTGATAAAGTAAATTTTGCTGTAGTCATTTGCCTGTAAAGTGCCAGAAAAACATTTTTATACCCATATAACTGCATGCATATAATGCTTTTATCTAGTGAATTGCGAATGACAGAAAAGACATTTGGGAAAAGGGTAAAATTAAGGTGCCATTGATTTTAGTTATTACATCTACTGCCAAAAGGTTTTGATCTAACAAAAAAAAAGTGTTTCTTTACTTAACCTTGAAATTGAATCCTTTTTTGTGTCTCTCTAAAGCTAACATCATCTAAGAACAGTATTTTTACACACACTCCTTAGTCAGTCTGCCTTTCTTGGGTCCACAGGCTTCCAATGGGAGATTTATTTCCACACTTGTTGAAACAGGACTGATGAACATGACTAATGTAGGCCACCAGAAAACCTCGTTGGACTTCCCTGAGCTCACAGAATTTTGTCCTGTGTTACGTAATTCTCTTCAACTAACTAAAGATGGTGTAGATGACTCCTTACCTTTTATATGGGATTTTTCTTTGAAGTGTTTTTCTTGCTGAAAATATTACTTTTTATGACCTTGAATTCTAGTTGTAATGTTGTGAATATTTGCTTTGCAGTTCTACAAAACTTTTTATCTTGCATGTCAAAGTTCTTAAATTATTGTGCATCATTTTTCTGCCTATGTTAACATAAGTCACTCCATCAGAAACAGCAGCATGAGAAGTGTTTTAAGCAGTTTTAGCTAAAAGCAAGGCATCCAACTTAATATGCTACAATATAACTAAAGGGCTAGTTTAAAAAAAAAAAAAAAAAGTAGGCATAACTCTTTCGGAAGAAGCAGTGCCTTGGGCCATTTAACAGTTAAATGTTTTTCCCTTCAGTATCTTCAAAAGTACTGAACAAAACTATCATTGGAAAAAAAAAACAAACCAAAAAACCCAAACAAAAACCCCAACCCCCCAACAAAATACCACTGAGAACAGGAGGAATAAACGCAGGCAAAAAGGAGTGATCTATGTTAAAAACAATTCCATCATGTTCTCATAAAACAGGGGAAATTGCAACATCCATTAATTTCTTAGCAGTTGTCCTGAGAATTAAAACACAGAATGGGTTTTGTCACAAGGAGCATATATACCTTCTCTCTCAAAGTGGATGTTTACTCTCTGAAACCAGGAAGAGAGTGACATGGCCAATTATCAGAATCAGCAGGATTATAAACCTGTAACTCGCCTCTTGCTTCATTCAACAGTTAGGAATGGATTGTAAAGCTTGATAACATGTTGCTTTCTCCTTTTCTTGCATGAGAAAGTTGATAAGGAAGGCCAGGCTAGATAATGCAGCAATTGCCGGGTTTATGAGATCCTTAGGAAGCATGTTCTTCATGAATGAACGACTTCTGCAGGTAATTCCAACTACCCCAAGAGACAGTTACAAATTTCAGCAAAAGTACAAGAGCATTTATTGCTCGTATAGTTTTTGATGCAAACTGGAGGAGGTGACATTGCTTTTTATGTGCTGGTTTGCTTAAGGATTTTGCGACATGACGACTGATCTGCAACAGGGTGAGATGGTGACAAGAATATGAAAATATGCTTGGTCTTGTTCTTTACAAATAGAAGAATTGGATGGCTAGAAAGCCTTTTCTTATTTCCTCATCTTATTCAATGCTTTAATCAAACAGTTCCCAGTATAGGAAGATTCTGAATGACAGAGCCTGGAAAACTAAAGACAGACTTAGCTCGGCTTCTGCTGCTCTCATCTCTTCTAGCAGTCCAGAAAGCAGAAGCTGTCTGCAGTGGTCTTATCTGACTGCTAGTTCCTGTGAAAGCTTAAGTAGTTTAAAGGAGAAAGAAAACCTGCTGCTGAAGTCACGTCCCTGCCCTGGTTACAGGAAGTTTCTAATTTCGAAAAGAAAGTTCTCAAAACAACAAAAAGATAAGGTAAATACAGCTAAGAGTAAAAAGAAAGGTCATGTATTCACTGGCAGATTTCAGTGACTGGAACTCAGGTGTAGCTGAGGTTATTTTTCCCCTCCGGAGAGGAGAGCAGGCTGACTAATATAGTACTTTTGTTCACAATCCGTTCCACCCGTACCTTAGTAAGCAAAGTCAGGTGTTGCAATACTGTACGTGCAGTTTGTATGTTTAGTTTACACAGAGATATATAAATAAACAGTAAATTCATCTGGATTAACTGGTTAATAAAGATAAGTCGACTGCGATTGCTATATGAAGTTCCTTCAGTGCATACAATGGAAGTGTAGCATATAATGATGTAATAGTCATCACAATTTCCCTAAGAAATTGGATGAGAGTCAGAGTGATATTGCATGTTTCTGCTTTTCTTAGTATATTGTTTTCCAGAGAGATCTACAAACTTTAGTTTACTTGAAGTATTTGAGAGAATAAATTGAAAGATAACTACTATTAGCTCTCCAAGAACTGAAGTAACATCTTCATATTTACAAGCCTTTCACAGCTCATTCAACAAAATTTCTGTAGTTGAAAAACAAGCTTGATGGTATACCCATAAATTATGCTGCCAAAAATAGTTGTTAAGAACATAGGTTTTTGAAAACACTGAGGTTTTGTAAGCATTTAAGCTTCGGACAAAGCAAGTCTGGAATTAGAGGATGAAAATGGAGAGACATCAGATTTTTATACATTATAAGGCCAAAAGGATTCTCTCCAATAATTTATACTAACTTCCCTATAATACACCCTACAGGACTGTTCTTGGGGCCGTTGATCAGAAGAAATCAATTCCTTGTTAAAGTAGAACATCTCTTTTAGAAAGATATCCAGGTCTGCTTTAAATCTGTATCCTCATATAATTAACTATTCTACAAACATGGCATTTTGACTTGCTGTAGCTTCCAGTATTGAATTATATTGTTCCTTTATATGCTGGACTGATGACCCGTAAGTCTGGGCTTTTTCCCAATCACAGGTTTCAGGTTTCTTTGAAATGGCATTTCTACTTTTATTTGGTAAATCAAGTTAAGTTATTATTGATTTGTTAGGACAAAAGTAGAAGAGAGGAAAATGGGGAGAAAGAAAGAAATAACCTTACCATCTACCAGCCTGGCTCATTTTATTACTACAGAAGCATAGTTTTAATCAGCAAAAACTAAATGCCATGCCTCAAATTCCATAAGCTTTTGTAGATTCCTAGCAGAGATTCATGGTCATTTTTTTTAGCTGCTATGAATTGAAAAACATTTATCTAAAGACAGAGGAAGAGCTAATTCTTTCCAATTTCATCTTGCCCTCTGGCTTTGTTATTGAACAGGAAGCACAATCTCATAAACCACAGGCCACACTCACCTTTGGAAACTCAGTGTTTGTTTCTGTGATGTTATGTGCGCAGCTTTGAAAACACAAGTGGAAAACCATGATACTATAGCTTAAAACTAACTTTGAGTTCCTTATGCTCAAATGCTTCTGAAATAAGAAGTCTGCAAAGCCCTTCCTAAAATTCCAGTGTCTTTCACTTCCCTCTCAACTGTTTCCAGTCTTTTTATCTCTTCCATTCCCCATAATTCTCTCTTCTCTCATGATAAGCAGATACAGTTCATACTGTCCTGGCAAGACACGTGCTCACACATCAATAGCAAGAACCACGATGAATCTTTCTCTGCCTGTTGCATCTCATGCTTACAGTGACTTTGGAACAGAGTGTGTGTCAGAGCTGCCAGCCAAGACATTCTTAGGAAATAGGAATGAAACAAATTACCCACTTAAGACAGTAAAGATGGTTCTGCTAGGTCAAAGTACAAACCAGCAGAATTTTTAACAAAGAAAACAGTATCTGAGTCAGGTTAACACATTACACCCCTTTTAGAAAGGGATTTTTACAACATATTCCTGAATTTTAGTATCAGAATAAAAAGTTATCAGAAACATTAAATAACTTCAGAGTTTGTAGGAATCTGTTCTATTAACTGAAATTCAGAGTCCCAATCCAATAAAAATGGTGCAGTGTACGATGTCTGGAATTATTTGAGGACAGCCTTCCATTTGCCTGTTTCAAAGTTCATAATACAAATGGTATCACTGGACAGAAATATTCAGAATACACTTTTTAGAATACATGTACTCTATGGACTGCTTGCTGCAGGCCTGCTGAGAGACAGATGGCCAAATCTACTGTCCTGGTTTCCATTTGATAGCTTGCTTTAAGAGACAGACAGAAGTATATGACATTAATGTAGCATGCTAACACTACTTCCTATAAAGGAAGTTGATTAATGTGAAGTTCAAAATTTGCAAATATTAAAGAATACTGATAGGAAGGTATTTTACCAGTAATCATAAGTGGAAAGGAAAAAGAACAGTAAGAATTAAGAAGAAAAATGATACCATATAAAACCTCTTTACTAAAAGGTAACACACACTAGGAAGTTTTCCAAAAACTGGCTTATAGCATTGTAGGAACACAAGAAATTAAATGGTCAAAGCAAAACAAAGAACAGAAATGATAGCCCAGAACTTCATTTACCTGATTTTACATCAGCAACTTTAGGCTGTAATGTATCAACGAGACTTGCTAAGAAACTTTATAACTGTTGCTACTGTTTGAGTAATCCACAGAGAATAACTTTTTGCACTTACCTTGTTATAGACAGAATAGCAGGATTACGTTTTACTTTTCTGAGCAGTAAGGGCCACAAGTGTCCCAGCTAAATAAAATCCTCGCAGCACTGCACAACCATCAATATTCATCTACCTGCTATTGCAAGTAAGCTCACAAAATGGTTAGTTAAAAATGTAAAACCAAAATCACCTGCAGAGCAATCGTGGTATTCTTCGCAGGATATTTCCCCACCAGTCCTTGTTCTTTGCGTTTCTTGAATTTCCTAAAGTAGTCCTGTATCAGGAAGGTGGCATAGAACTTCCCCACGGTTACCTCATCATCTAAATGAACAGACCAGACAGATCTCTCCCAAGTCAGCACATTTATCAATAGCCTGTACACTCATATCTGATTCGGGGGGAAAAATGTGATGGTTGCAATAGGTACTATGCTTTCAGCTTACAACAACAGAACCTGTAATTAGCTTAAAAGCAATGTTTTAGCAAGCAGCCTAGGATCAGTCAGTTAGGTGGACTCATCCTTAATATAAAAGAAAATACAATACTTTACCAAGTCTCAGGAACTTCTAAGTAAGTTCGTGTAAGTTTCTAAGAAAAGCATAAACTTGTTTGTATATGCATAGAAGCTGAAAGACTCAACTTTAGCTACTTGGAATAAACAGATCAAAATAAAAGCTACTATGACTTACCTACACTTAGGTTTATGAAAGGCAGGTCCTGCTTGACTAACCTGATCCCCTTCTATAACAAGGTGACCCCCTTAGTGTATGAGGGAAAGGCTGTGCATGTTGTCTACCTAGACTTTAGTGAAGACTTTGACACAGTTTCCCACAGCATTCTCCTGGAAAAACTGGCTGTTCATAGCTTGGATGGGCGTACGCTTTGCTAGGTAAAAAACTGGGTGGATGGCCAGGCCCAAAGAGTGGTGGTGAATGGAGCTAACTCCAGTTGGTGATTGGTCATAAGTGGTGCTGCCCAGGACTCTGTGGTGGGGCCAGTTCTGTTTAACATCTTTATCAATTATCTGAATGAAAGGATCAAATGCATCCTCGGTAAATTTGCAGACAACACCAAGTTGGGTGGATTTTTGATCTGCTCGAGGGCAGGAAGGCTCTGCAGAGGGATCTGGACAGGCTGGCTCAATGAGTCGAGGTTCAACAAGGCTCAGTGCCGGGTCCTGCACTTGGGTCACAACAACCCCATGCAGCGCTACAGGAGTGGGGAAGAGCTGCTGGAAAGCTGCCTGGTGGAAAAGGGCCTGGGGGTGTTGGTCGACAGGCGGCTGAATATGAGCCAGCAGTGTGCCCAGGTGGCCAAGAAGGCCAATGGCATCCTGGCTTGTATCAGGAATAGTGTGGCCAGCAGGAGTAGGGAAGTGATCGTGCCCCTGTACTGGTTACTGGTGAGGCCGCACCTTGAATACTGTGTTGAGTTTTGGGCCCCTCACTACAAGAAAGATGTTGCATTGCTGGAACATGTCCAGCGGAGTGAGGATGTTCAGTCTAGAGAAAAGGAGGTTCAGGGGAGACCTTATCGCTCCCTACAACTGCCTGACAAGAGGGGGTGATGCAGGGGGGGTCAGTCTCTTCTCCCAGGTAACAAGTGATAGGACAAGAGAAAATGGCCTCAAGTTGCACCAGGGGAGGTTTAGATTGGATATTAGGAAAAATTTCTTCACGGAAAGGGTTGTCAAGCATTGGAAGAGGCTGCACAGGGAAGTGGTTGAGTCCCCATCCCTGGAGGTATTTAATAGACGTGTAACTGTGGTGCTGAGGGACCTGGTTTAGTGGTGGACTTGGCAGTGCTGGATTAATGGTTGGACTCGATCTTCAAGGTCTTTTCCAACCTCAACAATTCTATGATTCTATGTTCCTAAGAGTCACTCTATATAAAAAAATAAAAGGTCCTGCTTACAACATCTTTGGTTTTTTTCCACTGCTAAAAAAATTCCTTAGTCAGTGTATCAATATATCATTGTTCTAATTGTATGAGGACTTAGACATCTTTACAGCCTGTTTTGCTATGCCCATTTTTTATTGGTGTCATGCTCTCACTGTAATACCAGAGCACCTTCCAGTTGGAATTTTATTTGTGTCCCAGATGCTCATTTGGGCTGTATCTTCTGCTACCTTATCATCACCCAATAAGCCAGATTCTAGACTCTAAGGAAACCCCACAAACGTTACAATTTCATGTACTTTCTATGAGGCTCTTATTTAAGTGAAGGTGTGGTCCTTAGCCACCTTCTAGACAGGTGATGATGATAAGAATAAATATTTAAACATGGCACTTTCCCACATTGTTGTGTTGTATCAGCTCTGCAATGCTGATAGAAATGAAAATAACTTCCATCAGTTAATTTAGTACAATTCAAAAGATACATAAACAGCAAGTGCAGTAAATCCTAGCATTTTCACAGAGCCACGGTTGTGAACATAATCCAAATTTCAGCATTTTCAAAGTTCAAAGGCAGGTACCTTATGAGGATATCAAAATCACCTGGTTCATAGCACATTCAGAATGTACATGCGTGTCTTATGAGTCCCATTGAACCATTCAGCTGTGCAAGTTTGATCTCTTGATGAGTAATGCTTGCCAGAAAACCAGGAATAGTTTTCTGTTCAAAAACATTGCTTTTGTTTTCACACACATTTTTCCCCCTAGAGTTACCTGGCACAAAGTTGGCTATTTCCCTTTCTGCTGTGTTGCCTAATCTCTCAATTTTTTTCAGTACCTTGAAATAGCTATTTGCAACATGGCTGCTAGCTGGCTACTGCCATACATAAAGGAGGGATGATGTGTTTTAGGCATCAAGTTCTCTCCACTGTTAGGGCCCACATCCTGATGGACAGTAAGTTCCCATCATTCCAGTCGCCCTTGCTGGAACAGACAGGGGCTTAACACATCTCAGGATCTGGGTGACTGTACAGTTGTGACTTGACTAAACACAGAAAATCTAACATGCCCAGACACATTTTAACACACCTTTCTTAGAAAGTATGGATTTTTTTTTTTTTAGTTTTATGTCATTTGTTTTCTCCATATTTTAACTCTCTAATGGAGCTTTAGGATAGACTGGAGTTTGGTGTTTGGTTTTGTGGGGTTTATTTTACATATGAACACATTCTTTTAAGCAAGCTTTTTCTCTAATTGTCAAGCAAATCTCTAATTGTTTGTCATGTAATGTAATGTCACACATTAACATGCAATTAAAACAGAGTCTCCTTGGTCTTCATTTTATCAAGAATATGTCCCAATGTATCTCATGAACGGCGGTATTTCTAATAGTACTTTTACTTGTAACGTGACAGCTTTTGCTAATTTCAATTTATTTAACTTTCTTCTTTTTGTGACTTGCTTTCACATCAATAAAAAGGATGGGGAAATCCAATCCATGTACAATACTGTTTAAAGTAATTTTTACCCCTCTGACAAAATTTGTCTCAAATGAATCCTCTACCATGCAAAATAAGCTCCTCATTATAATGTCTGAAATGGGCTGTATGCATGTGAAAGTATGACAGGCTTTAACTGCAGTAAAAATGTACCAGGGACATATTCTGCCAGCATTTTATTTGTCTTTAAATGTATCCAAGCAAAAATAATTATAATAATTGCATTTAAATATCTTGGTTGGGAGACCAGTCTGTTGCAGGAAATACCTTGGCGCATTAAAGAGCCCGCTCTGCCAAATACTGACACCTCTTCAAAAGTCCAAGTCCCCCCAGTTCCTGCTAGGAAATAGGAGGAACTGCATAGCTCAAGAAAAGCTCACCCATCTACATATTCAGTCTCAGCAGTAAAAAGCTTTTTAATCAACTCCCCAAATCTAATTTCTAAACTTTTTGTGAATATTTGCTTTGATGTTCATCTGTAATCTCTCTTGGCAGCTCCTCAGTGGTGTCTTGTATTAGGAAGAGATCTCTTACAAAGCATCTAATCTAAACTTGCCTTCCTTAGTTTAGCTGAATCCACTCATCTGCAACAGAGCCTTGGTCAAACTCCCCAGCTAAGCCTTTCTCCATCCTTGATACTATTGTTTCAAGTATTTGAACAAAACTTTTAAGGAAGTGATATAGCAAATGGCTTCTAGAAAAAACAAGCACATAGAAGTGACAGACTTGATATAACATATACTACTATGGGTTGTACTCAGAGCATGTCTCAAGTCAGACCATGACATTGCACAACTACTGACTGTACCTGAGACAACAATACCTGCAAAGTCTCAGTATGCAGAAATGAAGGGCCCTTATTGATCACTCTGGACATGCACCAACTTTTTATAAGCATATTAGACAAATGCATTACCAGTTTGCTGAATTGTGCATGCCGAAGTCTGTAGGTACAAACAAGATGCATGTGTACTTCACAGGCACAGTCAGTTGTACTGCAGACACGTGCACACAGGAACTGAAGCCTGGCCAAGGGGAGCCATCCTTGACTTTGTTTTTTGAGTAACACACATATAGCCAGATATGCACAGGTATAGGGAGGCAGCTAAGCATAACTGACCACAGAATAGACAAATCTATAATTACAGTTACTGACAGCAAAAGGGATCATTTCAGTAGGAAGTTTTTGGAAGACGGCAGAAAGTATTAGGCAGGATTAAATGGGCTTGCTGGTGGACAGTGGGGAGTTTAGAGAATACAGGTAAATCTTTAGTGAGTTGTATGCATTTATCTTACTGTCTAGCCCCCTAAGAATGTTAACTCATCCATACATTCAGGCATTCGACTCCCATTCTATGTTTTTGCAAAGCAGTTTCATTTTTCTGTAGTTAAAATGTGCTGCTAACTATTAACAGTTTAATTAAGTTATGGTAATGCGTTATTTAACCAGTACCAATAATTAACTAACTGTTCATTTCTAGTGGCTCTGTTTGTTAATTCAGGGGAAAAAAATGGTATACTGATTATTTTTATTCTGCTCTGCAAATAATCGTTCTGTTTGTGTTCTGGAGGCATGGTCACAAGCACACGAAGGATCTACTATTCAGTAATACCAGTAAAGGTAGTACTGGAGAAAAACATTACAAACTAGACCGCTCAATACTTGTAAGTGCAAGTGATTTTAACATATTGAATACTGATGCTTTGTTTATTGATACTGAAGAGAATTTTCTGTCTCCTAGCTGACTGTTATTATCATCTGTCACTGGTGTTACTGACATATACAATTTTCTATTGAATATTAAGCATCAATAGAAACTAATTTCTACTGTTACTAAGCTATTTGACACTCCTCTGGGGTATGACTATAAAAATAGCTATATTCCTCTTTTTTTCTAGGTGGGTTACAGTATTTTTGATTTTCAGATAGGTCACAACAAGGTCCACAGAGAAACAAACCAAACTGAAATTAAAAAATCGTAAATCTTAGGGACTTCCCAACATGTTCTTATTTATACTGGGTTGTGGAAGCCACCCTGTTTCCTGTCAATCAAGAAGTGATCGAGGTTTTCAGCCTTCTAGCTATGCATTTGCAGAATAAATATTAGCAATGAATTTTAGTATGGCTGAAAATAAATATACAGCTTAATATTCAGCAATGAAATGAAGCTGAAGTTAATGGTTACTATGTAAGATTAGTTCTAGGAATGTAATCTTTACAGATTCTTTCTCAGATTGATTTAGGCAGGCACAGCTCGCTATTCTGAAGCATGCATCTCTATTTCAATAAAAAAAAATGTAGGGGAATAAAGTTGGCAAGAGGCAACACTAATTCCATGCCACCACCCTAAAACAGAATTGCTTCAGAATATTCGGAAAGACTCATAGTTGAAAGGAACAGAGGCTGCAGAAAAAGCTCAAGCACATAGTTACAACAATAACAAAGCAATTCATCTATGCCATGCAAGCACTTAGGTGTAAGGCTAAAAATAACAGAGTAGAACACAAAAAGTTGTTTTAAATGTGCAGTATCAGTTCCCCTTCGGATAGTCAAATTTGCTGGATTTTTGCCTTCATCCCCACTACTATCCGGCAGCCACCACACCAAGAGCAAGTGGCTCCCTCCAGCGACAAAGCTAATGCTGCTTCTTGGGTCATGCTGAACAGCAGTGCAGCCAGCATGCTCTTTCTCCCCTAGAGACTGAGAGTATCACCTTCAGAAAGGGATCAGCCTCCACCACCATCGGGCCTGGGATCTTGAGTCTGCTTCCAAACCTGAGTCTGATCAGTCTTGAAAGCTGCCGTAACACTATAAAAGTACAATAAACTACAAGAAATACCAGATGATTACAATGGATCTGTGTATTGTATGTCTAGATAAAGACAGCCTGGGTGTGGGTGACTGTGCAACAGATCCTGCACCTTTAAAACTTGAAAAAGCAAGTAAAAACCAGTCACCTAAACCTATGCTACAGCATATTAATAAAAATGTATATATTGAAAAAGGCTAAATATATATATCAGAATATATATATTTAAAGAGAGAGATATAACAAATATTTGACATGTCCTTTTACAGGACGTAGGACCACCTAATATACGTGCCTTGTAGTTCTCACAAACTTATTGGTGTCGTTAGAATTTAGATACCTCTTTACAGGGGCCATATTCATATCTCAGTCATACTGGCATAAATCTGAACCATTTCCATTATCTGTTGACTGTGGAACTGCTCTGGTTTAAACTAGCGTAACTGAGATAATTTTGCCTCTTGCTTTATCAGTTTATTATTTTTGAGCTGGCAATTAAAATTTTTCAGTCTTCTCCCAGAAGTATTCAACATATACAAGGATATAAACTCTAATGTAATGTACATTGTCAAGCTTAATCAGCACAAAACATGTTATTTTGCTCAATGCACTGAAATCAAACTAAGTTTAGTTTATTTTGCTGAATGACTTGAAATCAAGACTAGATTTAGGTCTAATAAGGTATTTTTTTCAAGCAAGAAAAAAAGCATGAGATTTTCCTCTCTTTCTTTTTGGTCTAAAGAACTTGTACTTCTCAGTCCTAAATGTATTATCTAGTGTAACATGATATAATTTTCTCTACATTTATTTTGTTATTATTGTTTGTTGTCATTTAATGACATTATCATTTTATTTCTTTGGTCCCTAACAATCTAGAAAGACCAAAATGCACAGAGAATAGCATATTGCAAAGTTTATCAGACTGACCGCCAGCTGGAGGGACAACTTGGTCAAGTAATTTCATGCTCGTTTTCTTCCATATTTTCTTTATAACTGCTCTAAGTTCTTCATTTGCTTGCTCTAGGTTACCTGTGGAAGTGAAATAGAAAAATGGAGGATGACAATTATGCTTCAACCAGCTGCAATAAATGATCCTTTGGTTATTAATTAGCTGTATAAAAATACTGTGATAAGGATGCTTTGCAGCAAGCCCAAGCTACAAGTAGCAGCAGGTAACAATACTACAATTAAAGAGAAGAAAGGGTGTAAGACAGCAAGCTCCTGGGGCTTTCACATCCGTCTCTGGAGTACTGCAGAGGTCAACCATCATTTACAGATCTTGGCTCTACACTCTGTCACTGCTTAATCATGCTTCCACTTCAATCGTGCGGGAAGTGATGACTTACTCTTTACAAGCTGCCACTTTCTTGATCCAAAGCTGAGCCTTTATTTGTTTAATCCCAGTAATTACTCAGTTGTACAGGCTTGAAAGTTCAGGCAACTGACTACTGAGCAGTTTTTCATCTCCTGCAGTGCTCACCTAAACCACAGCGATGCCTGAGGGGGCTTAATCTAAGCAGTTTGTTATTGGCAGTGGAACTCAAATTCTGCTGTGAATAGCAGAAGACATGGAACAGACAGTAGTAAAAGATGGTAAAATAATGAAAAAAAATGTATGGAAATTGAAAGAATATTCTTTGAAACATACCACTGTTTTAACACATTTCCCTCTCTGATGCAAATGACAGGAATCCATTCAACCCAGTCAGAACTGGCCTTGACCAAACTGGGGATGTTGCTTTCAAGTGTGCAAAAGTTGCAGTTGCACCAATGTGGGATCCAAGGCACCAAGTTAAAGAGAATGGGGAAGGAGCATCTTGGTTGGACAGAAAGGGGAACTCATTCATTCCTTGCAGTAGAACTCCTGTTATGCCACCACTGCTACATGTTTTTATCTGACCAGATAAATAATAATATAATAATTTCTGAGATTTCTTGGGCCCTGGCCTCACTATCCCTTTCCTTTCATTTTCTAGCAAAACATTCCTAGCAACAGCAAATACAAACCACAATCCAAAAGCAAACCGAATCCTGTAGACTAAGGCAACCATACTCATGTCCAACAAAATTAATAAAATCAATTGCAACTTCTCCCCATTGTACCTTCTGACAAGTGCAGTAAAGGCCTTACAGCCAAGAACCTTACCTTCTGTTTTTATCTTTAGAGCAGTCCTAACCAAAGCAAACAAAGTAGCATTGAACATGACAGTTCCATCACTGTTTAGTGGCATATTCATGGCTACTAGCCTCTGTAAAGGAGAAAAAGAAAACAAATTTTGATGCAGCTTTGTTTGGAAAAAAAAAAAAAGCCACCAACACAAACCCCTCCTGTAATGCTCATTTCTCAAAAGCTGATGTATTCGATAATATCCACTGAGAGGCATAAAAATTATATGTCTTCAAAAAAAGTTGATTCCTCCATCCTAGCTGCATATAATAACCACCCAATATTGCTTCTTTCTCATACTAATCACATGCATGCTTATACAAAAGCTAAAGCTGTCCAGTCGTTTTCATGAGCTATTTTATTGAGTTAATTTGCAAACCTTGGAGCCCAGTCCCTGGCTATGACTGTAAATCACACTGTGCAAGTATTAAGGACGAATGCGGTTATTTATAGGAGCATGCACTCTGGTTGCAGTCATGTTCCAGGTTTCCCATGGGTTCCTCCACCCTCATGCTCCACGAAGAATCACAGCACCAGACCTGTCGTGTAGAAGCTGATTCATTCCTCAGGTAACTCTTCAGTGATGCTGTGCATCTCTTACACCAACTACACTGAATTAGTGTGAACATCTCCTCTTTGGATTAGTCCATCTCTGTGTTAGTGTTCATCTTCTAGACCAGTATTGCTGTGACCTTTTCCTAATATCTGACTTGGATTTTCTTCTATTCTAGTTTAAAAGCGTTACTCAATTGGATCATTTATCTTAACTTATACATCTAGGTTTGCTTTAAGTATGCCTTGCGGCATTCCATTTGAGCCCAGTGTTTTATATGTCAATTTACCTATTTATAAAACAGATATAAAAGAAATGCAAATGACAGTGCTGTTGTAACAATCCTTTAATTAAAAGGCTTGATCTTATTTCTACTGAAATCGCTAAATCATAGAATCACAGAATCATAGAATTGTCTAGGTTGGAAAAGACCTTTAAGATCATCAAGTCCAACCATTAACCTAACACTGCCATCTCACCACTAAACCACATCCCCAGGCACCTCATCTACCCTTCTTTTAAATATTAATTTAATATTAATTTAAATATTCTTTTAAATACCTCCAGGGATGGGGACTCAACCACTTCCCTGGGCAGCCCATTCCAGTGCCTGACAACCCTTTCGGTGAAGAAGTTTGTCCTAATGTCTAACCTAAACCTGCCCTGGTGCAGCTTCAAACCATTGCCCCTATTGTCCGTTACCAGGGAGAAAAGGCTGACCCCCACCTCACTACAGCCTCCTTTCAGGTAGTTGTAGAGGGCGATCAGGTCTCCCCTCAGCCTCCTCTTCTCCAGGCTGAACAGCCCCAGTTCCCTCAGCCGCTCCGCGTAAGACTTGTGCTCCAGACCCCTCACCAGCTTTGTGGCTCTCCTCTAGACATGTTCCAGCAAGGAAGCGTCTTTCTTGTAGTGAGGGGCCCAAAACTGAACACACTATTCAAGGTATGGCCTCACCAGCACTGAGTACAGGGGGACAATCACTTCCCTTCTCCTGCTGGCCACACTATTCCTGATACAAGCCAGGATGCCATTGGCCTTCTTGGCCACCTGGGCACACTGCTGGCTCCTATTCACG